CGAGGCGAGGCGTCGAAAGCAATCCTAGGAATAACGAGCCACAGCAAAAGCATATCGATTCTTGAAATAGGATCGGCGTGTACCAGCAGCAGTGACAGCAGCTGATGACCTTACTGCGCACGCCCCGCTCATCCGCCCCGACTCCCCTCCTGGTCGCTTTGCGGCAGTTGGCTGCGCTTTGTCGGTTTTCATGAGTAATTTCGGTCAAGTTCCTGCAGCGCTCGTTCTTTCACTGATTTTCAGAGCGGAGCGAGAGACATTTCGTAGGGGTCGAAGCCATTTTGGAGAGGGGGTCCGGCGGAGGGGGCAACGGTCAAATCGGTCTACTTGACCGTTTTCCATCGTTTTTGTTCGAGTGAAGCGGCCCCCGGGCGGCTCCCATGGCCTGCTTCCTCGTATTCTTTAGAATCACGCGGCCCACGGGCCCCAAGACGGCCCAAGAGCTCGGCTCCGAGACGGCCCAAGAGGGCGCGGGGAGGGGAGCAAAGACAAGGAAGGAGGGGAGCAAAGACAAGGAAGGAAGGAGGGGAGGAAGGCAGGAGGGAAGCGGACGGAGCGCAAGGAGGAGACGCGGAGGAGGGGAGGAGGGCAGCGGGGCAGGGCCCGGGAGGGCGGCGGAGGCGGCGAGGCCAATCGCCGCCGCGCGCCTCGGACGGCCGCGCGCCGCGCCGCGCCCGGCCCTCCTCAGTCGAGCTCCAGGCCGACCTCCCGGTTCCTGGCCTCCGCCCACGCGGCGCGCAGCGCCGCCCGGCCCGGCCCGCCGAGCGGGTTGTTGTGGAGGAAGAGCAGCTGCAGCTGGGGCAGCGCGCCCGGGGCGCGCAGGGCCTCCGCCAGCCGCGCGGCGCCCTCGTCGCCCACGCGGTTATCGGCGAGGTGGAGCTCCTGCAGCTGGGGCAGCGCGCCCGGGGCGCGCAGGGCCTCCGCCAGCCGCGCGGCGCCCTCGTCGCCCACGCGGTTATCGGCGAGGTGGAGCTTCCGCAGCTGGGGCAGCGCGCCCGGGGCGCGCAGGGCCTCCGCCAGCCGCGCGGCGCCCTCGTCGCCCACGCGGTTGATGTCGAGGCAGAGCCACTGCAGCTGGGGCAGCGCGCCCGGGGCGCGCAGGGCCTCCGCCAGCCGCGCGGCGCCCTCGTCGCCCACGCGGTTGCTGACGAGGTGGAGCTCCAGCAGCCGTGGCGCGGCGCCCGAGGCGAGCACGGCGGCCAGCTGCTGCGCCTCCTCGTCCCCCCACTGCAGCCCGTCGTAGCGCAGGTGCTCCGCGGCCTCGAAGCGCTGCGCGAAGGCGGAGCGGTAGAGCTCGGCGACCCGGGGCCGGTCGTCCTTGCCGTTGGTGAAGCCCTTGCTCTGCAGCTCCACGTCGAAGGCGTCGGGCAGGAGGGGCGCCCGGCGCCCCGCGGCGCAGTTGTGCACCAACGCGATGTAGAGGGTCTCCGCTCCGGTGGATCGGCCGAGGTCCAAGAGCTTGCCAGACGGCTTCGTCAGCATTGCCCAGGAGGACTCGCAGAAGCACCAGCCACGGTTGAAGTACTGCTCCGTGTTGCCCGACCGGGTGTACTTTGCAGCATCGCCGTAATCATCTGGAAACCGCGTCAGCATGAAGACGACAGTGGCGGGGTGGGAGTAGAAGCTCCCCAGGCTCCCCAATGCCTCCTTGAAGAGCGCATGCTCCAGCTCGAAGCGGCCGAGGGCATCGTCCTCGAACGAATCTGAGCCTTCGAGCCGCTGATAGGTGCGCTGCTGGGGAACGCCCTCGCGGTCCCTGCAGTTTTGATGGATGCAGCAGAAGTCCATGAATACACCCCGGCGGCCCTCTGACTCAAGCCCGTGTAGCTGCAGGGCCTGGCCCACGATGCGCAGGTTGTGCCCGCGTGGATCCGGGTGGTTCGCCTGCAGCCAGCAGTGTGATATGCACGCGACGTGCAGCGACTCTGCAAAATGACCCAAGTCGGCCTTGACGGCGCTGTGGGAAATGAAGGCCGTCGGCGGCAACGCCTGGCGCGGCTCGAGGACGCCGCCAGTGCGCGCTCGCCTCACCATCCACTCCGCGTCCATCAGGACGACCGCTCCACTGCCGAGCACGGGGTCGAGCTCCAGGCCGCCGTTCCTCTCCCACCGTTCCTGCGCATCCGCTGGCACAGGGACCTCCTCCAGCTCCGGCATGTGCGGGGGCAATTGCGGCTCGGCGGCCAGCGACCGGTAGGACGCCATGCAGCAGCCCATCTCGATGCTTGCAGAGGGCGGGGTCGCCAGCGACTTCCAAGTTGCAACCAACTACGGAAGCTTGAGCAGGGAGGAGGAGGAGAAAGAAGCAGGAAGAGCCAGCCGGCGGCGAGCCCGGGCTTGAAGTGAGAGGGGCACGCCGTCGCAGGGGGCGGCGGCTGGCTTCGCAGAAGCCCTCGGGCCTTCCGAGGAGCCGTCGTCGTCGTCGTCGTCGTCGTCGTCGTGGTCGTCGCCGTCGTCGTCCGTCGTCCGTCGTCCGTCGTCCGTCGTCCGTCGTCCGTCGTCCGCGTCGTCCTCGTCGTCGTCGTCGTCGTCGTCGTCGTCGTCGTCGTCGTCGTCGTGGGTACCTCGGCTCTTCGCTCAGAATACTTCCCAGAAAAGCCCGAGGTCTTCCGAGCCTTCTGAGAAGGCCCACCCAATCTGCATTGCCACTTGAGTTCGCCGCCGACATTGATCGCCCCGGCCGTTTTCCAATGCGCTGGAGGGAACATGCAGCCCAGCAGCGTGGCCGCACCAGCAGTCGACATAGCACAACACAGGCACTTCCAGAAGGCAGGGGGGCGGGTGTGACTCGGCGCAGGCTTCTTCGACACAGTGAAGATGCAAGGGTGAGCACGACAGCTTCAATGAGTGGGTCCCTTAGCTGTAAAGCACAGATGGCAGCATTCACAATGGCAGCAACGCATCGAATCACCCACGTTGCCAAGAGGCAGAAGCTTGACTGCCTCCCAGAGCTCGAGATGCAAGGATCAATCGATTGCGCTGGACATGGCGCTGCAACTAGGATCCGCCAGTGCCGCTGGGCACGGAGTAGGCGTGTCCTCAGGTCCTTTGCCCAATCCATGGAACCTCAACCCTCACTCCTGAGGAGTCTTTACGGTGCCCGGACACCAAATTCCGCAATCTACCCGGGTTTCCCGCGTGCCCTTTGGGACCGACCCATCACGACTTGTCGCTTGACTTTTACGGGCCCAACCAAGATGAGCCCAGAGGGCCGCAAGAGGCTCACTAGACGGTCCAAGAAACGAGTCGCGGAACGACCGCTCCAAGAAGCCCAAGATGGCCTCACGATGGCCCAAGAGGCCTCCAACACGCCCCCAAAGGCCTCCATGAGGCCTCCCAAGAGGGCCCCACGAGGCACAAATCATTGATTGTCCATTGGTTTTTGAAGCTCTGGCCTGTTCGGCTCTCCGATGCTCCAAGACGGCCCAGGAGGCCCCCAAGACCACCCCAAGACGGCCCAAGAGGCCTCCAAGAGGGCCCCAAGACGGCCTCAGAGCGCCCCAGACGGCCCAAGAAGCGCCCCAGACGGCCCAACTGGGCCCCAAGACCGCCCCAAAAGGGGCCCAAGCGAGGGAGCACGAACCGAACATCCGAGGCTTCCGCCCCAAGAGGCCCCCGAGAGGCGCCCAAGAGGCCCCCAAGAGGCCCCCAAGAGGCCCCCAAGAGGCCTCCAAGTTGAATGCCCCAAGAGGCCTACGGCCCCCAAGAGGCCTCAGAACTGCCTCCAAGAGGCCCCCGAGGGGCCGCCCACGAGACCCCAACGAACATCCATCAGGGAGCACGAGGACACACACGAACAATTACACACAAATACCAGGATTCCCCATCTTTTCCCATATTTTCCGTGTTTTCGAATTCCCCCCCACTTCCCATGCTTTCCCATCTTCTCCTGGGGGTCGACGATTCACTGTGCCTGTGCATTTTTCCCCTCCTGAATCCAGTGGGCTTCCCATCCACAAAGCACGGTGGCGGGGTGGGGCGAAGGTCACCCGATGCACGAACCGCTTGCACATAAGTGAAGGGGCCCTGGGACACACAAATAAATACACACAAATAAAATGATTTCCCATATTTTCTGGGTTTTTGTCTTCCCGCCCAATTCCCATATTTTCCCATATTTTCCTGGGACTCGACGATTAATTGTGTCTGTGTGTTTTTTCCTCTCCTGAATAAGAGCTAGGGGGGCGGCGGGGCGGGGACGCCGGCAGCCCGCGAGGCTCTGAAGAAGCCCGCCGCCGGCGCCCAATTCTTACATGCTTTTGCATCGAGCCCGCTGCAGTGTGGGTGGGTCGCGGGGTGGGTAGAGGGAAAAGAACTATGCACATGCACCGATTCTGGCCAGGCCGATCCTGAGCCCAAGATCGGTGCATACGCCCTCCTACCTTGGCCAGGAAGGCATATGCACCGATCCTGGGTCAAAGATGGGCCTTGCCAGGATCGGTGCATTTGCATAGTTCCCTTCGCCCGAGTGGGTCGCGGGTGGTTCGCGGGTGGATCACGGGGTGGGTCGCGGGTGGGACGACAACAACAAGCAACGAACAACAGGCAACAAACAACGGCAGCAACAACCCGCACCGCGGAACCTCACTGCAGCCACGCGCCCAGGGACAGTGAATGACCAATCGGCACCTTCAATCAATCTGACTTACGTACGGAGGTCCACGAAGGGTGCATGAGTCGGCGCTGACCTCTGCCCCCCCCCCTCCCCTCACCCTTCCCCTGAAGCCCGAAAACGGCCCTAGAGGCGCCCAAGACGGCCTATGAGGGCCCCCAGGACGGGCCCAAGAGGGGGATCATCAGCCAACGACTCGAGCCTTCCGTCCCAAGAAGCCACAAGGAAGCCTTCCGTCCCAAGAAGCCACAAGGAAGCCACAGGTCGGCGTTGACCACTGCCCCCCCATCCCACATCCTTCCCCTCCTGAGCCAACAAACCCGTGCGGACCTCCAGAATGTAATGAGTTTGCTGGTATTACATCATCTCGCAAAGGCTATGGTCGCTCCTTGCCCACTGTACTCGCGCAGTTGCCCGCCACGCGCTTCCGCGGAACGACGTCGAAGCAGTTGCGCGCCACGCGCTTCTGGCGGCAAGAGGGGCAGCGCTGTCAGTCCGTGTTTTCCTTATCCTCCTCCACCTCTTTCCTTCCCTCCCTATCGTCTGGCTCATTTGAATATCGTCGTCCTCCTCCTTTTCTTCCTCCTCCTCCTCCTCCTCCTTCTCCTCCTCAACCCTCAAGGCGCCGCAAGATGCGTCAGGGGGTTCAAGCTCAGGTTAAGGCAGGCAGGCAAATGCATTATTCAGTCGGATGCGCTGGTCCTCCGATTCGATTGCGCCATTCTTGCCGAGGGGTCGGCCCCTGTCTGTCCAACTTTTCTCGCAAAAGGGTTCGACACATGTGTGGAGAGGAGCGCCCTCACGGACCCCTCCACCGCGAGCCACAGGTCCCAGCCGTGGCCCCAGGGCGCAACAGGCCCAGAGGGACACACGCTGGCCCTCCAGCCGCGCGAAAAGAAATGCGAGGCATAAGCTGGACCCAGCCAGCCCCGCCCCTGGAGCGCAAGGAACAAGAACACTGCCGAGAGCTGCGCGCGCCCGGCAACATGGTGGCATATACAAGAGGAGGGTCCCGTCCACCTTCGCGGGCGCGTCGCTGGCACCCTGCAGGACCACGCGTGAGGCACGAAAGCGTTCTGCGATCGAGTAGCGCGCTGCGCCGCGATAGAACGCACACCCCGGGCCTCATCGAGCGGGAGCCCAGAGGGCCCTGGCGCGCGGAGCACGCCAGGGGGCGCCCAGAGCCCGCCTCGGCTTAAACCCCGGGGCGCAGATCTGAGAAACCCGCCCGGAGCTCCGAAAGTGTGCGCTTCGAGCTCCACTCCTCGCCCTGGGCAGGAGCGCGTGGCTCGGTCGGCACCGACCTCCTGATCGGGCTTCGGCCCCCCGCCGAACAAACGGCTGCGCCGACTCTGCGAGCGGCCGCCATCCCAGCACGAGGTCGCGCGGCCTCGCGCCGCCCTCGCCGATGCTCAAGGTGCGCTCGCGCCTCGAAGCTGCCGGTTCCAAAGTGGCCAATTCCGCGCCGCCGTCCTGGATTTCCGAGGCGCGCGAGGCGAAGCCGACGCCGGCAAACCGACGGCGGCAGGCTCGACCTCCTCGGCGAAGCCGGGCTCCAAGCGCGGCTCTTTCGCTGGCTTCGACCTCCTCGATGACATCCGGCTCCAAGCACGGCTCGCTTATGCCTCGAAGCTGCTGGTGCCCCCGCCCCGCGACGCGTGCGAGGCGACGCCAATGCGGGCAAACCTGAAGGGGCCCTGGGACACACAAGTACACACAAATAAAAGAATTCCCCTATATTTTCCCGTATTTTTTTTGGTTTTTGTCTTCCCCCCCACTTCCCATATTTTCCGATATTTTCCTGGGAGTCGACGATTAATTGTGTCTGTGTGTTTTTTCTCCTCCTGAAAGCCGATAGCGGCAGGCTGGCCCCGATCTCTTGACTGCGGTCCGGCTCCAAACACGGCCCGCTCACGCCTCGGAGCTGCCAGCGCTCCCGCTCCACGAAGCGCGCGGGGCGACGTCCATCTCGGCATGCCGACGGCGGCAGGCTGACCTCAACCTCCTCGATGATCATGATTTCAAGCACGGGCCGCTCACGCCTCGAAGCAGGCAGACGGCGTTCCCGTTTGACTACCTACCAAACCACCCCAACCCAACCCGGAGGCCCGAATTTCGGGTTGGGGGGGTATGGGCTCCATACGTGTTTTTTCGATGTTCCCGGACCCCCCCACACTAGAAATCGAGAGTAAATCTGACCCTTCGGGTTGGGTTGGGGTGGTTTGGTGGGTGGTGAGATCATGATTTCAAGCACGGTCCGCTCACGCCTCGAAGCAGGCAGACGGCGTTCCCGTTTCACGAGGCGCGCGAAGCGGCGCCGACGTCACCGAGCCGATGGCGGCAGGTTGGCCCCGGCCTCCTCCGCGAGGTCCGCGTCCAAGCGCGGCGCCTCCACGGGGACCGCGCCTGCCCCCGCAAGGCCGTGCAGAGGGGCGCCCGATGGGGAGACGAGCTGCGCAGGCACCCGACCCCCTGCCGGCACGCCTCCGGAGCGCCGTGGGCCCGCGCCACCCAAACTCACCCCCTTCCTCCCCTCCCCCCCCCCTGCGACCCAGCTGAGGCGCAGTGCCAGCTTATCGCGCCTGCTCATAGTCGGGCGGGGCAAACCCCGCGCCCCGCGGCCCCCTGAAGTAGGGGCCGCCGCGCTCCTGACGGGGCCCGAGGGGGGGGAGAGCCAGACAACGAGAAGAGGCAAAAGAAAAGGCGCAAGGCTCACCACGTAGGGCACGATGAGCTCCACCAGTCCGCCGACGGCGGGCGGCCCCCACGCCTCCCTGGTTTCGATTACCAGGGGGCACTGGTTACCTCACTTCGCCGCGCGGGGCACGCGGCGCGTGTTTCCTCGCACGGGTAACCTGGCCCGCCCCCGCAGGCCTCCTTGCCCAAGAGGGGGGCAGGCGGTGCACGTCTTTAGCCGTGCCCACCTGGCCGACTCCCCCATGCACACCCTGGCCCCGCGACGTCACGAAGGCCACTACAGTGGCTGGGGCCTGCCCCCAAACGGGCAGGTACCACGCAAGCCGACGCGGATCGAGATCCACGCAAGCCCAAGGGGGTTGCTACCCTCGCGGCCCCAAAACGCCAGGTCCCCGAGGCTGAGACGGCAGACCCGTGCAACAACGGGACCACCGCTAGAGTACGGGGGTTCGGGGGGGCCGCCCCTGGCCCGTCAGGGCACCGACGCACCTGGCCCGCCGCGCCGCCCCCGCATGTGCGACGTCTTGGCGGATTCCAGTTCGCCCCAGGTGCTCCGACATGCCGCCCACACGCCGAAGCGCCCTCCTGGGGGCCCCTCCTCGCCTCCTCCCCTGTCCTCATCGCCCCCTCCCTGATTCCGCCCTTCCGCCCTCCCCATCTTGCACCACCCTCGGCCCTGCGCCCGCGTCCTCCCTGCTCCACCCCTCCCCTCCCTCGCCCCCCCCCCGCCACTCGTGCAGCGGCATGTGGGCGCGACACCAGCGCTCCAGTCATGCCCAAGGCAACGGCACTGGTGGATCCAGCTGCTACCTGCGCGGAGGCATGGGCCACCATGTCACGTGCCGGATCTCGCCCGAAGCTTCCTCCCCTCCCGCCCAAGCTCTGGCGAACAAGGCCCGGATGCACGACGGAAGGGGCGCCGCGTGACTGGACCGACTCGCGCCGACCGCCATCGGCGCGGACTGCCTCGGCGAAGCCGTCTCGAGGATAATTTCGATGCCTTCCTCATCACATCCTCCTCCTCCTCCACTTCGTCCTCCCCATCCTCCTGTTCCTTCTCTTCTCATCATCACCATCATTATCATCACCACCACCACCACCACCACCATCGTCATCATCATCATCATCATCATCATCATCATCATCATCATCATCATCATCAGCATCAGCATCAGCATCATCATCACCATCACCATCATCGTCATCATCATCATCACCATCAAAAGATCATCATGATTAACAGCACCATCAACATCACATCGCCACCATCATCATCAACAACATCATGATCCTCAGCATCATCACCGCCATCATCAGCATCATCATCACCACCATCACCATCCCCGTCCTCAGCACCATCATCCATTCTCTTCTTCATCATCACCATCATCAGCATCATCATCACCATCAGCATCGCCATCATCATCACCATCCTCATCATCATCGACGTCGTCGTCATAATCATCATCACCATCACCATCAACACAGCATCAACAGTATCATCACCACCACCGTTACCAACATCAAACCCATTACCATCACCATCACCAGCATCACCATGAGTAGTATCACCGTCTTCATCATCACCATCATCAGCATCGCCATCATCATCAACATCGCCAACACAATACTATTCATCAACAGCATCATCAACAACAGCATCATCAGCTTCAGCATCATCACCACCACCATCATCATCAGCATCAGCACAATCAGTATTATCATCAGCATCATCATCATCATCATGATCATCACCATCACAAGCATCATCATTATCCTCCTCCTCCTCCTCATCATCATCAGCATGATCATCATCATCACCATCATCATCATCATCGTCATCAGCATCATCGCCAACATCATCAACATCAGCATCATCATCACAATCAACATCACCATCACAATCTTCATCATCAGCATCAACATCAACATCATCATCACCACCGTCATCGTCGTCGTCGTCGTGATCGTCGTTTGTCGTCGTCGGTTGTCGTCGTCGTCGTCGTCGGCGTCGTCATGATCAGCATCAACATCACCATCACCGTCACCACACCTACCTCGGCAACATGCCGCTCGGCGTCCAGGCGGTGGCCCGTCGCCTAGCCAGGCTGCGCAAGCGCAGGCAGGCGATTGGCAGACTGGCAGGCCGGGAGGCGACGACGGGGAGAAGCGAGCCACGAGTCGGCACGGCGACCAAGCACTAACCCTGCGAAATGCTTAAGAAATCATGGGTTAAGAAATTCATAGTCTCAGAACTTGCATAAAAACCCAACAGTCCTATCAAAATCTTAGGACTTACATTGAAACGTTAAGAATAATCGAGACCCTGGCCGAAAACTTAGGTTTTCTTAAGCATCGCCCAGGGTGTAGTCAGGGTGGAGCCGCCTGACCACGGCTTCCCTCCCGCTGCCCGCCGGCGGGGAAAAGCCGAGTCGGTCAACGCTCCCCCCTCTTCCTTCTCGCTTGGTCAGTCGGAGTCTGGCGACCTCTATGAGCGGTCGACGCCTTTAGCACAAAGACGCTCCTCCTCGTCCTCACCCTCCCCCCCAGTATGTCCCCTCTTCTCCTCGTCTCCAATCCTCCTCCCCATCTCCAGCTCTCTTCCTCCAACCCCTCGTCCTCCTCCTCCTCCTCCACCTCTTCTTCTCCATCCTCCTCCTCCTCCTCCCTCCCTCCCTCCCTCCCTCCCTCCCTCCCTCCCCTCCTCCCCCTCCCCCTCCCCCTCCCCCCTCCCCTCCCCCCTCCTCCTCCTCCTCCTCCTCCCTCCTCCTCCTCCTCCTCCTCCTCCTCCTCCTCCTCCTCCTCCTCCTCCTCCTCCCTCCTGACCATCGAACGGTTGACGTCCTCACCGCTAGGGGAGAGGAGGGGCAGGGGTGCATCCCCAAGGCGTGCCGCGGTGGCAAGGCCTCAGAAACTCACGCCGTTTGGCCCAGTTCTCTCCCGCCCCCCCCCCGCCCTCCGCTCCTCCTTCCCGCCATCCAGGCTCCCCTCCCCTTCGCGAGTGCTCTCGGTGCCTCGCCCCTGCCTCCCTCCGCCTCTCCCTCCTCTCTCCGTCCTCCCCCTCCCCCTCCCTCCCTCCCCTCATCCTTCATCCCTTTCGCACTCTGCTTTTCCCAGTCCTAGTCCCAGGGGGGGGGGGGCATGGAGATGCAAAAGGAGGAGGAGGAGGAGGAGGAGGAGGAGGAGGAGGAGGAGGAGTGCATATTGGAGCCGCTTGTCCCTCCTTCCCTCGACGCCCCCAGACCCCTGCTTTCCCCGGGCCCCTCCCACGAAGAAAGGCGCCTTCGCCAGGCTCTGTCGCAGCCGCTCCTCCGACGCGTCGTCGCTGGGAGGCTCACCCGAAGAGTCCTCCAGAGGGGAAGGCTGGGGAGGGGAGAGGAAGGGGGGGGGAGGGGAGAGGAAGGGATGGGGGGGAGAGGAACGGAGGGGGGTGGAGAGGAAGGGGGGGGAGGGGAGAGGAAGGGGGGGGAGGGTTGGTCGGGAGGGGAGGGGAGAGGAAGGGGGGGGGAGGCGAGGGGAAAGTGGAGCGGGGGGGGGTTAAAGGGGAGGGGGCGAGGGGAAAACGAGGGAGGCGACGGGAGGAGAGGGGCAGGGGAGGGCAGGGCAGGGGAGGAGAGGTGTAACACACTACCCCGCCCGCCCATCCCTTCGCACTGCGCTGAAATATTCTCAATCCGCGGTGTCTTGGGCCTCCTCCAAGAGCACCCCCCAGAAGGGCCCAAGAGGCCACATTCATTACTTTCCCATCGGAAACTTACATTTCTAGCATATACGACGTTTCGGCCTTCACGGCGTCACAGACAGCTTCGTCTTCAGGGTCGGCGGCACCGGCCGTAAGGCCTTCGCAATATTCTCAATCCGCGGTGTCTTGGATACATGGCCCTGGTCCCCAGTGGCCCCATCGCGCGATGCGCAATCAGGAACGGGGGGCCTTAATCACACGACGAGGAAGAGGAGGTGGCGGACAAGCAGGAAGATGAGCGAGAGAAAGAGCAGGGGATGAGTAAGGAGGAGTGGCAGCAACAGCGAGAGTAGGAGGAGCCGGAGGGCCAGGGGAAGGCGGAGGAAGGAACAGGAAAGGAAAGGCGACGACGAGAAACGAGTCGGATCCCGAAGTATGACACCCCGCGGGGGGGGGGGGGGACGCGCATCTGAAAGACGGGACTCGCCAGGGGGAAACGGGTCCTGAGCTGCTTCCCTGTTTTGGGGTTCTCGGAGCCCTCCGCGGGCCCCGGGACTGGCAGAGAACACGGCTCTCGACGCAGACCTGGTCCCGGGGGGAAGGCCCGGGGCCCAGGACCCGCTTCCCTGAGGGCCCGTGCCCCCCGTCCTGCGCAACAGACGAGGGGATGCGAGGGGAGGCGAGGGGAGACGAGATGGCACAACGAGACGAGGGGAGGCGAGGGGATGCGAGGGGAGGCGAGGAGAGACGAGATGGCACAACGAGACGGGACGGAGCGCCGGCATCGTGTGGGCTCCGCCGGGGAGCCCACCCGTGACCATCGGGGCATGGCGCGGAGGCCGTGGCGGGGGGGCCCCAGGGGGCGCCTCCCTGTACTGGAAGGTGTGTCCGGGGAGCGCTTGTCGGCCCTCCCGCCCCCAGGAGACGATGTCTGAAGGGGCCCCAGGACACACAAATAGATACACACAAATAACAAGAATTCCCATATTTTCCTATATTTTCTGAGTTTTTGTCTCCCCCCCCACTTCCCATATTTTCCCATATCTTCTGGGGGATCGACGATTAATTGTGTCTGTGTGTTTTTTCCCCTCCCTTACACGGAGGCTGCTTCTCAAAAGGCGCCGGCCCTAATTCTACAGACAAAGCCTGCGCCTTCTCAGGAAGCACGGGCGCTTCTAAGAAGCCTTCCCCCATCCCCCCACCCCCCTCTGCGCGTGGCCGAAGGTGCGAATCTGGCCAGCAGGCTGGCTCTCCGGCTCACTGGGCGAGGTCGTAAAGAGCGAGCTGAGCTTGGGAGGCCAAGGAGAGGGGAAGGACACGGGGGAGGCGGAGCGGTTTGCCTCGCGGAGGCCTGCTTGCCAGGGCAACCTGGCCTTGGGGAGGTGGAGGGGGCGGGGAAGCGGAGGAGAGGGAGTACGGCGGGACGGGCTCCTCCACCTGGCCCTTGGGCTTTCGCGTCTGCGCCCCGCCATCGCTGGGAAGCTCGTCCGAGGGCTCCTCCGCCGGGCCCCGCCCCCCTCCTGCTCCTCCACTTCCCCCTCCTCCTAACACTGACGCTGCAGACGGATCCAGATCGAAACCTCGGCTCCCTCCTCCTTCTCCTCCTCCAGCCCTCTTCCTGATGCAGCTCCTAATCATCTTCATGAGTAACTCCTCCTGGTCGGACCCCCTGACCTATCCGTAGCGCGGGCCGGGCGTTTCGCTTGAGATTTCCTCGTCCTGCAAAATCTTGAAGCTTGAAATTGCCGCAGCTTCACGGAGGAAGGACGGGCCCTTTTATAGGATGTGGCTCTCGCCTTAGCGCCGCGCCCATTCGTAGCACCAATTTCACGCATGAGGGTGGGTAGTTTTCAGAATGCGGTTCTCGCTTTAGCGCCGGGCAAACTTGTCGTGAAATCTTGCGCCAGTTTCACGGATGGAAAGTTTCGTCCTGGCATGATTTAGGATTGTCAGAACGCAACAGTCATGTTGACTCGCGTTGTTGAAGTCCCAGGAACGGTGTTATGGCACGACTTGGCACCGTCAAGGCGCAACAGTCACGTTGATCCGCGGCGTTGAAGTCCGAAAAGCTGTGCTATGTGTTGGCACGATTGACGACTCTGAGACAGATGTCCTTTACTGGGCCACCTCCCGCAAGAAACACAGTTTCTTGTTGGGACCTATCAAGAGGGAACTCGGAGAGTGAGTTTATTTCAACATCGTTGATGCGCCTGTAGTTTACACTGGTCCTCATCCTCCTCCTCTTTCTCCGCCATTCTCCACCCTCTCCTTCCTCTCTTTCCCCTCCCTCCGTCCCGGCTTTCTTCGCCCTCCCCGCCTCCTCCTCATCCTCCTCCCCCCCTGCTTCGTACCCACTCGTTCTTCCTCATCAGCGAGCTAACGAACTCCTCCCTGCCGCACCACAGGACGCGTCAGTAGGACGGGCAGGGCGTTTCGCCCGAGACTTTCTCACCATGTGCCCTTTGACGGATGAAGGGCGAATGGTGTTCAACATGCGGCTCGCGCGTCCACGTCGCGCACGTCTAAGATGATCAAATGTGTCCACCCGCTACACGGGTGGAGGGCACGTAACCTTCCAAACGTGGCTCGCGCCGTCGCTCCGAGCACACCCGCTTCGCACAGGCACCTCCCCGGAAGGCCGCCCCCCCCCCCCCCCCCCCCCCCGCAGTCCTCGGCCGGGCTCCCGGGCTCCCGCTCCTCGGCCTCGCCGCCGTCGCTGGGCGGCTCGTCCGAGGCCTCCTCCGCTGGGATCTTGACCTTCCGCGCCCGCGCCCGCGCCTTGTCGGGGCTCGGCGGCCCGGCGGAGTCCTCGGGCGACGGGCGACGAGAACCCCTGGCCCCTCGTGCAACCTTGAATGTCGCTGTTTTGTTGCATTCCCCATGTCCAAAGGATGGGGTTCTTGGTATCACTCCGATCGCGCCGGCTCCTCCCACTCACTCCTCCTACCCCTCGTCCTGTTCCTCACTCAGAGTCCATCAATACTCAGGGTCACACTCAGGGTCACGACGCGGACTATGATGACGATGATAATCATGATGCCGATGATGATGAAGAGGATGCTGCTGCTGCTGATGCTGCTGCTGATGATGATGATGATGATGATGACAATGATTCTCCCGCACGCAGCGCAAGCGATCAGGTCCCGGAGGCGGGCGCGCGGCGCGCGCGCGGCGACCCGTAAAGGATGACGGGGCGCCGCGCCCAAGCCGTGCGGCGCCCTCAGACGACCTCGTCCAACGAGGCCATCTGGACGGCCAGGTGGCCGTAGCAGCGCCGCAGGCCTGCCTGAGTAAGGCGGGGAGGGGGGGAGGGGGCCGAGAAGCTGCAGGACCTGAACGGGCGCGAGCGGCAAGGAGAATAGAGAAGCGCATTCTCCCGCACGCAGCGCAAGCGATCAGGTCCCGGAGGCGGGCGCGCGGCGCGCGCGCGGCGACCCGTAAAGGATGACGGGGCGCCGCGCCCAAGCCGTGCGGCGCCCTCAGACGACCTCGTCCAACGAGGCCATCTGGACGGCCAGGTGGCCGTAGCAGCCATACCCAGGCTCAAAGCCCTTGCGAAGTGACAAGGTTTTGGCGGGCGGCCGCGAGCAGAAGGGGCCACGCAGTGGGGCCACAGTTCAGAAAGGAAGCGACAAGGAAGTCGCTCGCGCCATCGAAGTAGGTGACACGGGCCCGAGCGGCATCAGGCAAGGCGGAAAGCATCGCGGCGGAAGCATCGTCGTGCAAGAAGCGCTCCGCGCTAGACGCCTGGCGCCAGCGACTACGCCAGAAGATACGACCAATATCTTCTGTGGCCGTATGAAAGTCTGTCGCGCCTGAGCCGCGGGGGCAAGCAGGGGTCAAGTGGAACCCCGCTGGCGTCTCGGCGAGCGGTACGCCTAACGCCAAAAGTAAATGGTTCCACCGAGTACGGAAGCCGCTTTGACCAAAGGTCGACAGAGGATCGGTGGGACCCAAATGCCGAAAGACCATCTCCAAAACCCGAACCACCGCTTTGTCAGAGCACCAGGCGTGCTGTGGCGGGTAAGACATGCTGCTCACTGGATCGGGAATGGTCATCCAAGCGTTGCCTGAGGACTCAAGGCAATCCGAAGGCAACAAAAGGTCACAGCGACGGGCTGACAGCAGCTCGTCGGGCTTCAAGGACATCGTGAACCCTGCCAGCAGCAAGGCGGCCATGACTGGCCAGTCCCAAGTGAAACAAACTGCCACCATAGCGCGCAAGAGCGCTCGTGGCATTGGCGGCCGAAGGCGAGGTGGCTGAGACCGCTTCCAGGCCCTCGCCACTCCCCACGCCTCGGTGAGAAAGGGCTTCCAATGAGGGAGACGTGCCTGGGCGCCTATGATCGCGTGCACCAGGATGTTGAGCGGGAAACCTGCGTCGTGCAGCCACACGCCGAACGTTGCGAGGAACCTCGACAGCAGGATCCCACTACGATACAGCGGAAGTGGCGCCACCCCTGCGTCCTCGGCGCACCGCAATTCGAACGCGTAGAGAGCTCTTTTGCGCCGATCGCCGGCCGAAGTCAGAACAGCGCCTGACCAGGGAGCGCTGGGAGGCTCCGTCTCTGCCGCCCTGCGGCGGCGGCGGCGCGCGGGGTGGGGGACTCGCCGAGGCCAGGCAAGGGTGGCATTCTCGTCGCGATGCCGCGCCGGCTCAGCCTCGCTGTGCAAGCCCGTACCAACCCTGGCCTCCGCCTCGGCGGCGCTGTCCACCTCCGCGAGGGCAGTTGGCGCTGCCACAGGCGAGGGCGAGTACGCCGCCGCCTCAGGGAATCCAGCGGAGGCGGCCTCTCTGACGCAATCAGCAAGACGAGAGCGGGCGATGCGCATCGCATCCTTGCGCCGCTCGAGCTCGGCTAAGAGCGTCTGCATTCGCTTCGCCAGCTCTCCCGCGCTCTCGCCAGTCTCTTCGCCTGTTCCCAGCATAACCTCGGTGAGAGCGGCCTCGGCAGCGGCGACCGAGGATAGGAATCGCGCGCGAGCGCGCCGGTCGGCACGCGCGCGCCGCGCAACCGCGGCCGCTGGGCCAGCGACTCGGCTGGTGCGCATCGCAACCGAGGTAGCGCACGCCCCGTCTTGGGGCAGGCCTCGAGCCGCGCGCGCAGAGGGCTCCAAGGAGTCGAGAAGGTGTGGCGCAGCCGCCAACGCGTCTGAGCCCTTCTCGTGCGCGGCTCCGCTAGGTTGGGGGAGATCCGCGCTATCAACGGGCGAGTCCACCGACAGAAGTGCGGCGCGAGGCGCGGCCGCGGGGCCAAGAGACCTCGGACTGGCCCCGGCACGGGGCGCGGCCTCAAGCATGGCGAAGGAGGCGGCGGCGGGCCCCGAGGCCGCGGGTATGCGCGCAAGCGCGTTCGGCCGCAATCGATCCGCAGGAACCCGCATGGGTGCACCGTCGACGCGTAATGCTGGTGGCGCACTGGCGGCGCGAGCAGGAGGGCCCATGCTGATCCTGGCGCCCCGCGCCGAGAATGCGCCAACCGGCAAGCTCCCGGAACTCGCCGAGCCGGTGACCGTGGGCGGGTCGCGAGCACCAGAAGCGAGGTCGCAAGCGGGGTCGCTGCCGGAGCCGCGCGGCGGCGGAGCGGCCGCGAAGCGGGCGGCTGGGCCAGCCGAGCGGGTGCTCGCGCGAGCGCCCCGCGGCGGCGGTGCGCGGCGGGAGCCCCGCGGCGACGCCACTGGCGGCGCGTCCTGCGAGTCCGACTGGCGTCGCGGGGCGCGGTCGGAAAAAGTATGCGGAACGCGGGCGCCGTCCCCCGGCGCAAGCGGCGCGTCGCGCCACTTCGAGGTGCTGCCGAGCCGGGCGCTGCTGGAGGGGGCACCGGGCGCGCCTGCTCCAAGGCCCGGGCTCCAGGAGCGCGAAGGCAAAGGCTCACGCCCCTCGTCCGCCGACGCGGCGGCGCGATGGCGCGCGCAAGGCTGGCCCCACAGCGCGAAATTGGCAGTGCGCCTGGCCCTACGACCCGGGGGCGGCGCGGCCGCGCCAGGCGCCGAGAGCAGCGCCGCGGGCGCACGAGCAGCGCGCGCACGACGGGGGCGCTCAGCGCGAACCGTTTCCGCTGGACGAGCTGGCCGATGGCGCCTTCCGCGCGAAGAGCAGGGCGCCGAGGGAGTCCCAGAGGCGGAGGCCCCGAAATCCGGCCGTGCTCCGCCCAGCTCGGGCTGCAAGCACTGGCAGGCGCCGGCGGCGCGCCCGTCTGGCCACGGCCGCGCTCTTGCATATAGGCGCGGGCCCGCACGAACGCCTCCGCGGCAAGTCCCGTGCTCCCGTTCCTGGCAAGGTAGGGTTCCCGCTCCCGGCTGGCAACGAGAAGCCTCGCCAAGCAGGAGCGACTTCGCGTCGCAGAACCTGGGCCAGAGGGGAGAGGCGTCCGCGCGGTCCGATGCGGACAATGGGCGATGGCGCGCCCTGTCCGGGCGGTGCGGCGTGGCCAACCGCCGGAACTGGCGTTCCATGGCCGACCGGTCGGCACCCGGTTTGAGCTGAAGGAGCTCGCGCGCCGTCCGCACCTTTGCAACCTTGGCGGGTCGCTTGGGATCGGTCCGGGCGGCGAGCCTCGGCCTGGCCGCCGAAAGCTGGGCGGGCGCGCCGGGCGGGCCAGCGGCAACGGGGGCCGCACCCGGCCTGAAGGGCGCTTCGAAAGGCGACGCGCCCTGGGAGGCTTCATGGGGAAGCGCGGAGAGCTCAGCGGCACCTTCGGCGCTCCTTCCCCCGAGGCATCCGCCGCCCACCGCGGGAGAGGCGTTCCGCCTAGGAATCTCTGGAGCCTCGGCTTGCGCTGGGTCGGGCTGCGGAAGCGTGCCGGGAGCTTCGAGAAAAACCGGCGCCTCGACCCCAGTTGCGGCGGCCGCGCTTGCAAACCATGCGTCGGCCGCGGGGGCGGGCGAGAGAGGGGGACGTGCCGCCAGACCATGGGCGGCCCGGGCATTCCCCCGCGCAAGGAGCCCCTGTGCTAGGACTAGCGCGGCGAGCCGTCCCCATAGGCAAGTGGGGTAGGGAGAATGCGCGTCAGCAAGTGCGACCCAATCGAACCTACCGAAATCGCCCGCCTCAGCGTCGACCAGCCACGCAGGAGCCTCCCTGGAGGGGGGGCGCACAGGCCGATTCCTGGTGGGGTCATCCGCCCTGTGGACGTCGGTGGGCACATAGAGGCCACCCATGTATAAGCCACCGCTCAAGATGTAAGGCAAAGCCGTGCTGAGGACATGGGAAAGCCCTGGAGAGCTGCTGCGACCGTGGGCGGCCGCGCCCAAGGCGACCTTAGAATCGAGCAGCACAGGGATCCGAGAGTCCGGCATGCGAACGCAGCAGTACTTGCACAGACTCTTGAAAACAGTGGCCTCCAGGATGTTGATGTGACGCGGCATTCGAAATTCCCACTTATAGGCCAGGCGGAAGTGCAGCGCTTCCGACAGTTCGCTTATCCAGTGCGGCGCGACTGGGGGTTCAATGGAAGGGAGCCCCAAATCGCGATGCAGCTGGGTGAGCTCGGGGCCTAATGGGACTCCCCGGTCCAGCACGGCAAGCAAACTTCGGTTGTGGAGGACCGTGTGCCACCCTCCGTGCTCAGACCGGCGCCACAACTCTTGGGAGAGATGTGGACTGATCGAGGAGCGGACCACTCCCCCCCAGCCGAGGGAGGCGTCCGTGCCGAACACTTCGGGGGAGTAGCCCGCGCGAAGGTCGGTAATGGCGACAAAGGCCAGGTAAGTGCAGGCTAGCAGCTCGTCGCGAACGGAGACGGGGAGCTCGTATTCGAACCCATCTTCCGTCGACAACGACGACAGGAAGTTGTAGACGTGCGTGA